GTCACTTGGCTGTTTTGCCTGAATTCTCCTCAGATGCTCTCGCATCACTGGGTCAAACTGAGCCATTAATTGTACTTGTCCAAGGAAATTTCCATTACCAGACTCAAACAATTTGTCTGAATGGCCACGAAATGCAAGATTGTGCTCTGCAAGATGGTTTACAATTGCAATAAGTCTTCTTAAAATCTCTTTCCAGGGGTTTACTTCAAGAGCAATTAGATCTTGGTTTACCTGATCTATAGCTGTTTGTTTGTAGTTTTTGTGAAAGATTGCGCCAAGCGTCCATGTTTGTCATGTGTTCTGCAGACCTCTCACTTCTCGTCGTTTGATAAACTTAAGATTGAGCCCCTGTAGTCACTTGGACTATTTTAACAATGTCCTTTAATGACTTTTCGAGGCCATCAATTGTCATTCCCTCAAGAAGCCTATGGACTAGTATGCAGGAGTGATCTTAATATCTTAATTTGTGTTCTGAAGATGAACGAAGGTCTTACGGGGTTGGAACAACATGAGGGTGAGTAAATACTGACAGAATTTTCGTTTTTGGGTGAACTAACCGTTTAACTTTGAAATATGTATTGTACTATTTGTATTTACTCTATCGTAATAACTGTCTAATAATAAACACATTTCAAACAGAACGTGCGGTGCATGTCAACCATCAGTTCGACATCCCTTCTTTATTAATCACTTCCTTCCGGTCACACTCTAGTATTCTTGGGTAATGCAGTTCAATATATAACAGTATTCACAAACATTACATCTCCCTTTTTTTTTTTTTTTTTTTTTTTTTACAATTCAGCATGAAATGAACAGAATATCCTGTCACATGAACTTTAGTTGGGATATACTTATGCCTGAATGAAATGTTCGTATTCTCCATTTACATGAGATAACTATATCAAATGAACAGGCGAACTTTAGCTGAACATACAATATAACTATCGTATGATGTTCTTCAAAATGAATCTCAGTAACAAAATGTTTGCAGAATACAACACAACATTTTTTTATATAGTCGAAATGCAAGTAGGCTATGCAATTACCAATGCAGACATACACTTACGTGTTATAGATCAAGTATTTGTCTCTGCTTAACTATGCGACCTGACTTGGTAGTCACGCAATGGTCAGTGGGTGTAGGTGTGATTGCATTTGAGTCCATGGTGAGGTTGCTTGTTGTAGCTTCCTGAGAACTCGAGCTATCCTCACAAACGGGCTGTGCTGAAATCGTTACACTTTGTCCCTTTACATCTATCAGGTGCTTGCGGTTACGGCGATATTCCTGACCTTCGGTGTTTGGGATAATGTACGAGCGTCCGTCCTCCAATGCGCTCGACACTACAGCAGGTTTCCATTGACCGTATATATGCTAGCTCCGTGTCCCAATGTGGTGAGTGGTTTCGTGGATCTGTGGTAATATGACTTCTGCTTTACTTGGCATTGTTCTCTTTTGAGTTGTACTGCCGTAGGTTTACACGTTTGTGGTTGCAGAAGCTTACCAGTGATGGGAAGGATTGAGCGAAGCCGTCTGCTCATGAGAAGCTGTGCTGGTGATTTAAAACCATCAACAGGTGCATTTCTATGCTCCAGAATGCTCAGGTATGGATCTTTTCCTTCTTCATGTGCCTTTGTGAGTATATGCTTTGCGGTTTGGACTGTTTTTTCTGCGAGGCCGTTACTTTGGGCATAGTACGGGCTTGTTGTTGTGTGCACAAAGTCCCACTGTTTCGCAAAATCACTGAACTCCTGAGTTCTGTATTGCGGACCGTTATCCGACACGATCTTCTCGGGTACTCCATGACGCGCAAACATTCCCTTGAGCTTTTGGATCATCGCAGCCGCGGAGGTCGATTGAAGTTTTTCCAGCTCGTAGTAATCGACGGCAATGATGTAGTTTTCGATTTGCCACGTGAAAAGGTCAGTTGCGATCACTTGCCATGGACCTGCGCGCATCGTCCGCAAGTTATGGATCTCGTGCTGTCTCGTTCGGCTCTAATGGTAGTTTTTATGTGTTTCTGTTTATTGCCTCGTTTGAACACAGCATGCGCAACCTGTTGCGTGTGAGTGGTGCCGTGCTGTCCGGCCATGGATTTTAGCTGTCCCTGGGCTATTTCGTGAGATTGTGCAATGTCTATGGCTCTATCAAGGGTTAAATCCGGTCCAAATTTGAACAATTTCTCCTTCACTTTTGCGGAGTTTATGGGGAAGACTATCCTGTCTCTTACCATCTCGTCTGTGTTGGCATATCCGCAGACATTTTAAATAAGCGTGTTTAAGATGTATGGCTATGTAAATCCACTTTAGAAACGTAACTTTACGGTTACTGGAGCTCCCCTGTTAGCCTTACATAATAAACATGTGTTTACAGCAAAATCACAACTATACTATACTATCTAACTCCTTTACACCTTCAACAGATAAAACGTTTAGTTTAACACATCCGATTTAAACACAATGGAACCGTGTTTACTCACATTTGAAAACCCCCGCGTTGCTGATCTCCGCGATGTTGGTATCCTCTCGCGTGGCATCCTGAGATAGATGAGTATCATGAGTACCCATGGAAAAGCACTCAAAAATCTGGGCGGAAGCAGTAAGCCATCCGGGAACTTCTCGCCTACTCTTTTATGAGTACTGATGTTTCGAACGTACTGCTTCTTTCACGTACTGTTTTCGCCTACTATATAGTAGGAAAGTAGGCATATTCGAACGCACTTTAGGTATGCGTACGTCCGAATCTGCCGATAATTAGTACGCCACCCAGGTAATTCTCGCCTACTCTTTTGGATTCATTCATACTTTTTCGCTCGCCTACTCTTTTTCCCATACTAAATAGTAGGGAAGTATGCGGTTTGGACCATAGACATTATGTCTATGGTTTGGACCGCAGCCAGGGACTGAGAGGTGAAGGGGGGAGGGACAAATGACGGAGTGGGAGATGACAGAAGAAGACGACTGATTGTTGTGTAGATAGTGTCAATTTTAGTCTGAAAACACCTCTGATAACAGAAAACTCTAAATTGTAATATGGACTTCTGTAAAGTTGCTTTGAAATTATGTGTATTGTTAAAAAAAGCGCTATACAAATAAAACAGAAGAGAACCCATTGTGTTTAAAATTTTATTTACACATTTTAAAAAAGAGGACACAGCATGTTCATGTTTATTCTAATATCTCTGCCACAATTTGTTGTACATTTCCAAGAACAAACCATGGAAAACTTCGGATTGCACAAAAGTATGTTTTTTCCATTTTTTCTTTTTCTCTTTTGCCACACTCGGACAAGCTGGAATGATTCAGAGTCAATCACACACATGGACAAGTTTTATGCTTATTCACTTGGTGTTTACAAGTTTCTCCTAGTAATGCACAAGAACACTGACCTCTTGGACCACAGCTGCAAATCTAAGTAGACTGTGGTGGTTTCAACAAATTTGGGTAAAAAGGACAGAAAAAACCCCATCTTTTTTATCAAATTGCTAGACTTATTAGTTTGATTACATTTCCGGTATTACAGTATACCTCAATACACATTGTAATGCAGATTAGGATCTGAGAAAAGATGTTCTTTTGGATAATGTAAATATGGCACAAAAATATACTCTGTATTTTCACACTTACAGAAAAAACAACTTGTAACATAAATCAGTGGAAACTTGCCCACGTCTTCAGAACATATTCAGAACAAACATAATAAAAGATCAGCATAAATCAAAATTATAGATATATCATTTATATAAGTATTTGAGATGCAAAATCAAAGGAAACATTAATAAAAATATGCCTGATTACATGATGATCAACACAAGAAGATATGATTGATTATATGATAAAATATGGTTGATTTTATGATAAAACATAAACAGGAGCAATATACTGTATATATATATATATATATATATATATATATATATATATATATATATATATATATATATATATATGAAGAGTTCAGATGCAAAAGCCTCTAAGTGCCATTTGAAATTTTCTTCTAAAATGATCATTTTTATCAAGCTTGTATATTTAAGTTCAGTGATTTCACTTAAATGGCAATGAAGATTACCTATTAATTGTCATTTAAGTGAAATCACTGAACTTAAATATACAAGCTTGATAAAAATGACCATTCTAGAAGAAAATTTCAAATGGCATTTAGAGGCTTTTGCATCTGAACTCTTCATATATATATATATATATATATTTTTTTTTTTTTACACCCATAGGCCCTATCATACATCCGGCGCAATCCAGAACCACGCACGAAACAAGTGTGTTTTGCTAGTTTCACCCAGACGCAGTTTTCATTTTCACATCATTGCGCCACGTTGTTTAAATAGTGAATGCATTTGCACACATCTTGCAATCATAGGCAGTTGGTCTGAAAACGAGGTGTGTTCAGGCGCATTATTGGTGCGTTGCTATTTTTAGGAACTGAAATAGACTACGCCATTGACCAATTGAAACCTGGTCTAAAGTCAATGGTGCAATATATATATATATATATATATATATATATATATATATATATATATTTTTGTTGTTGTTATTGAAAGAGAGAATTAATAATGTGCGTCTATAAACTTATTACGCACACAAACATGCCAAATATTAAAAATAAAAGGATTACAATTTAAAAGATTAATGTTGTGTACATAAAGATATGGTGGAATCTGGCTTGTCTGTAGATGGTCTGCTTGTGTGCTAGAGTTACGTTTTTAGACCATGCACCACGCAAAAGTGGGTTTGGAAATGTCCTAACTGCACTTGCGCCCTGTGCTAGTTAAAAAAAAGGGCCCCATGTTTTTAAATGCAAAAACGAGGTCTGTGTGAACCGGCCCTAATGGATTTTAGTCTATTCTGTCTAATTAGATTTGTGAGTATACCATGTGAGTATTTTACAAAAACAATTTTCAACATCATTCAGAGAAACTATTTCATGTTTATAAAATGTTATGAAATTACAAAAAAAAAAAAAAAAAAAAAAAAAACATAGCTAAACGAATGAAAATATGTTTACTGTTTACATATTGAATAACTCAGGTGAATGGAATATATAGGGTTTAAATGGAATATTCAGGAAATAATTGGGAGTTAAAATAATAAAAGCATATTTGGTGGTTTATGATCATTGGCTATTTGAATTTTTAAAAACAAAGTATTTCCAACTTGATTTTTTGACATTCAGATATTTTCATTAATAAACCAATTAACTCTAGCCAAAAAAAAAATAATAATAAAATAAAAATCACATTAAAAGACAACCCTTTTTTGCAACATGAACTTAGATTTTGTAAAGGTTGAAGGCTATCTTTTCAATTTCACTATTCTGACCACATTCAAAGAGACAGGCAATGTACTTTTGATCCCCACACTCTGCCAGATCTGAGTATCCACTTGGACCTTTATTGATGCACTGCATGGTTGTCCATTGCATGGTATTGGACAGTGATTTATTCACATAGATTGTGAGATCCTTTCTCTTTTGTTCATCAGATGGATGAGAATAGAGCAGCCATGGACTCTGATCAGAGGAAATCATTTTCAGCACACTGCCTTGGCAACCATTCCCAGTATCTATCAGCTGTGAACATGTAGGCTTGTCAAATTGTTTTCCACCATTCTTGCTTAGAGCCTCGACTCTGTGTTTGAATGTACTTCGGGCATTGCAGTACAGTTTGCCATCTTCGACCTCAGCCATCTGACACTCATTAGACCACAGATCTTCCATTGGTTTTCCTACATTCCAAGTGCTTCCTTTATCATCGCTATAGAAAGCAAATGCACGTGATACAGGGGAGGATGAAGGATCTTCGGAATGAAAATAATGCACACATGCTGGGATAATCAGTCTCCCACTCTTCATTTGAACACCATGTCCTGGTCCAACAGCAAAGGTGGCCCAGTTTTTCTCCTCTTCACTGATCACATCTTTCAAGTTCGTAATGCCACTCCAGCTTCTGCCAGTGTCCTTACTGGTTGTGTAACAAAGTTGTGTCTGGTTCTTTTTATTGTTTATTTGATCAGATTCAGAGACACCAAAGGGAATGCAAATAAAAAACAGGAAGAGCGTATCAGAATCTTTCTCATAGACCAGACATGGATTCATGCTGCGGTGGTTTGGTAGAAGAGCTAAATTGAGCACCTGGTGACCACTCTGCCACTGAAATAAAAACCATGACATTTTGACTGTTAATGCCTTCAAAAAACTGTGTAAAGAATCTATGAAATAGTTCAGTTGTGAAGACAATTGTCTGTTATGAAAAATATTTAATGAGTTTGGTTAAACATGTCTAGTACCTCAACGTCCGTGTCATTCGTCCACAATCCTCTTCTCATCACAAGCACTTTTGCATCAATATCTTCAGGAGTGTCCCGCTTTTCAGCGAAGGCAAGGTAGGTTTTTTCGGCACTGCTGTAGATGAGAGCTGGAATTCTGTACGTCACCTGCTTTTTTTTAACTTTTGGCTCCTGTTTGAATAATGTTGTTGCTGTTATGTTGTTGGGAGGAATTGAATTCCTGTTTGAAGATGTGATGTTACCCATTGTAAAATTCATGCTCTATAAACAGAAAGAATAAATAGAAGTATCAGTAACAGTATCACCATGCACTTCTACAATGTGTTTGAATGTATGAATTACATTGCTTGAGATACCAACAACTCAAATCAAATCAAAATGATTTTAGACCTTTTCTTAGAATTATGTTGGCTTGATAAAAGTCCTATAGACTTTCATTGAGGGGGTCAACACTTTTAAACAATAACCGTTCTATGCTTGGTTTCACAGACAGGGCTTAGATTGATTCAGTGTTAGGCCTTAGTTCAAGTGACCTATTGGTAAGCCCCTCCCCTCGAACACAGATGAGCCAATGGCAGTTGAATATCAGTTGTACTGGGACCAGAAATCCGACATCTTTAGGTTTCAGCACCATAGAGAAACGTTGGAATCGGTCAAAATTGATCAAACACATCTTGGGACAAGGTGACATTTGTGACATCCAAGTAGCTTATATAAACATATGGGTCAGATATTTCAGTGCAAATTGCTTTCAGTTTAAACCATAGAATGTAAAAAAATATGGAGGTATTATCCGTGACGTCACCCGTAGGTTTCTAAAGAGCGTTTTTGAAGCCTAAAGTGGGCGGGGCCGGCCGTCGCCATCTTGGCAGCGCGTCACCTCTCGTCACTATCGGATAAAATTAAATGGGCAAAGAGGCGGAACGTGGGTGCCTCGGGCTAAAGCTAAAGATAAACTTAATTCAGAAATTTGCATCTGTTTGAGTTCAATGATTCAGGTCAAATCATTGTGATATAATGATTATGTTAAAACACAACCAATATCCACAGATCACATTTTCTAGTTGATTATCCGGCTGTTATAACTCAGACAAAATCAAAACTAAATAATGTGGGGGTCAAGAGCCCAACTAAAACAAATACTCATCTCCATAATGGTTACCTTAAATTCCGGTTTTCTCCTTCAGTGATTCTGCTTGTTAACATCAGGTGTCTTCAATAATGCTCAATCATCACTCAGTTATTCACTTAATTGTCTCATTAACTTTAACACTGCTTCAGTGTTCATTTAACACTCAGCTCAGAGTTTGATTGGATGGCTTAAAATGACTTCCATGATGTTGAAGTTACATGAACAAAGAACAAATTATGTTTGTTGACCAAAACGGTCCCACTTTATATTAAGTGGCCCTAATACATGTGAACTTACATGGTTACTAGATATGTACTAAGTATGTAAGTACAGTGTACGTACACATTGGTACATAGTATTTACAGCTGTAATATTTGTGTAACTACACAAATGTAATAACACACTGAAAGGTATGGGTGAGTACAAATGTGTAACAGGACATTAGTAACAACACTTTTTTAACTAGAGTAAGTACACATGTGTAACAGGCACTATGTAACTACATTTTGTAACAACAATGTATTTACACACGTTCTTCCACTTCCACACAGTCTTCAATACTGTAGTTACTAGTTTGGAAGGCACTGAAACTCCACTGAAATCATGATAATTCCTATGTGTATACCATGTATTTATTGTATGACTGGCAGGACTCACGCTGAATTACAGCTAAAGTTTCCCCTTGTGGTATCGGTGTACTGTACTTACACGGTAACTCCTCTGCACTTGATAGAATGTGTTAAACAATCATAACTTACTGTGTATAATAAAAACAACCAAACCTCTGTACAACTCTGTATTAACAGTGTACTTACATGGTAACTCCTCAGGAAGTGTCCACTTAATATAAAGTGTAAAAGGGCCATAACTTACTGTGTATAGTAAAAACACCAAAACTCTGTACACTGTATTAACAGTGTACTTACACGGTAACTCCTCTGGAAGTGTCTACTTAATATAAAGTGTAAAAGGGCCATAACTTACTGTGTATAATAAAAACAACCAAACCTCTGTACAACTCTGTATTAACAGTGTACTTACACGGTAACTCCTCAGGAAGTGTCTACTTAATATAAAGTGTAAAACGGCCATAACTTACAGTGTAATATACAAAACCCAAAGCTGTGTGCAACACTCTATTAACAGTGTTACATGGTAACTCCTCAGTAACTCTGCACTTGATACAAAGTGTAAAACGGCCATAACTTACTGTGTATTATACAAAACCCAAACCTCTGTACAACACTGTATTAACAGTCTACTCGCGTTGTAACTCCTCAGGAATGGTCCACTTGATGCAGTGTAAAACGGCTTCAACTTAACGAGTAATATAAAAAAAAACACAAACCTCTGTGCAACACTGTATTAACAGTGTTACATGGTAACTCCTCAGTAACTCTGCACTTGATACAATGTGTGAAACGGCCACAACTTACGGAATCATCATGATTTCAATGGAGTTTCAGTGCCTATTGAAGACTGTGTGGAAGTGGAAGAACGTGTGTAAATACATTGTTGTTACAAAATGTACTTACACAATGCCTGTTACACATTTGTACTTACCCATACCTTTCAGTGTGTTATTACATATGTGTAGTTACACACATATTACAGCTGTAAATACTATGTACCAATGTGTATTTACACTGTACTTACATAAGTACATATCTAGTAACCATGTTCACAGGTATTAGGGCCACTTAATATAAAGTGGGACCAACAAGGCAAAGTTATGTGCAACCGGTGGAACCTGTTTACATGAAAAAGTTAAGTAAAGCCAACACATCATTTTTTTCAGTGAACTACCACTATCATCTGTGGGCAATTACTAGTTTGTTAATCAGAGTTTCTTGTTAGTTAATAATAGTTACTAGATTGTTAATGTTGTGTTACTTATTGGTTCTTGTGTAGTTATTCATTAACGAAGGAACCGTATTGTCATTTTTAGAATATTTGTAGAGAATGTTATCCTATCTTTTGAGAAGAGCATTCAAAGAATAAAAAAAAAACTTTCCGCTAAAAACATTCCAAGAATGTTAAGGGATAATGTTCTAAAAATGTTATGATTAAACATTTATAGAAGGTCATCTTTAAAATGTTCTTTAAAATATTTGTAAAATATTTAGGAGAATGTTATCCTATAGGAGAACGCACCGGGAACAAAAATAAAACTACCTACTGAAAACATTATTAGAAAACTGCATGGTAATGTTCCCAGAACATTTTTAGAACAAAAAAAATGTTCCTGGGAAGTAGAATAAATATACTTAGACCTCTCTTTAATAAAGTAAAGTATACATAAGTGCAATTTTAAGTATATTTATTGAATATATATTTATATATATATATATATAACTTTAAGTATATTTTAGAGAAGTATAAAAAGTTGACAGGAAAGTACTTTCTTGTTTTTAGTTTAAAAGAAGTATAATAGCACACTTTAATAAACTTATTTTTCGTAAGGGGCTATGTCTTTTCAAACTGTTCCAAATTTTCACCGTTTTCCTGAAAAACTATGATCAAAACTCGGAAAAACTCCCATAGACTTACATCGACGGAATGTTCAGACTTTTCAAACTCCAACTGTCAAAAACTCAAATCCAAACTCCCTGAACCCCATTAGGCTCAATTACAGTTCCATTATTTGTACTATTTCTATTAAAATAAACTCAAACTCTAATCATATGCTCTAAACGGTAACACTTTGCGGTAAGGGTACAATGTGCTATTAATGGTGGCATAACTGTGAACAAAGAAAACATGAAACTATGATCATGCATAATAAATCATAATTCATGATGATCATCTTAGTTAATGTTTTACTTAAGGTGTTGTTTATTCATGAAGTCATGAATAAAAAATGTTGAACTTGTGTTAGTTTCTGATGATTCATGAGATATTAATGCATGAATAAAAACTAATTCATGTACCCTTACCGTAAAGTGTTACCCTCTAAACTAATATACTCAAAATCTAAACTCAAAAACTCTAAACTTAAACTTTAAATTCATAAACTCAAAATCAAACTCTAAACTATCTCTAAACACTATCTATCTATCTATCTATCTATCTATCTAGATTTTAAAACTACAAACTAAACCTTCAAACTTTAAAAATACTTCAAACTTTCTGGCTAGACTTTTTTAAGCCAAGTTAAATGTTGTAAACAAACGTTTTATATTGTTATTATTACAGTTATTATTATCTAATTTATACTTAAATTGTTGTTTACCATAACCTGTACTGCCATGGTCTCTGTCCTTGTTGATAATTCTCCAATAAACTATGAAAAGCAATACTCACAAGAAAGGTTGTTTTCTGCAGCTATGGATTCTTACAGCAGGTTTTTCTCCACTCTTATGAGGTTTAACCAAAGCATCCTGTATTTATAATAATTCATCAACCAGGAAACAACCTCAAATCTTTAGCTTTTGACTGGTGATTGTTGAAATTTGCCTACCTCCCACACACACACACACACACACACACACACACACGCATGCACACAGATACAGAGACGCACCACATACTGTAAGTGACTTCAGCCTATCCTAGAATATCAGAGGTGCACAAAACAGCAAACAATCTCACAGCAATTACAGTTTTTCTGAATTGGTAAAACACATTTCTTGAAATCATAAAGTTTCTCAGTTTCTCAAAACCTTAAACTAAAAAATAAAATAAAATAAAAAAATTCAAACCATATTCAGAGAACTTGTGACTTATCTGGCAAAATCAAACAACTGCCCTCAGATCATTTTATCTGTGCACAAAAACAAAACGTGACATTGAAATTGATATGGGTCTGTGTAACGCTTTGCAGTTCTTTGTTCTGACAACAATCGCTAGATGACACTGGTGTAGCGCTGTCGCCATTTTGGACTGAACCAACGGTTTTACCTGTAATTATACAGCATTTTGTCTGGAAATAACTAGAAACAAAGAAAACAGGGTTCTGCCATCAATGCAAACAGTAAATTTTGCAGAGTTAAATTATCTCTATAAGAGTTAAATAAACACTTGGTCCGAGTGTATTTGGTCCCACTCAGAATTGGTGATAAATTCACTCTACTCATGGTGTCAAATTTTCAGAGTTCAGATTTTCAACACTGCTCTACACTGAACAGTGTTACCACAGTTTAACACTAGGGGAAATTAACTCTGTTTGGTGTTACTATAGTTTAACAATAGGGGAAATTAAATCTGTTTGGTGTTACTATAGTTTAACAATAGGGGAAATTAAATCTGTTTGGTGTTACCACAGTTTAACAAATCAGAAATTAACTCTTATTGGTGTTAATATTTCATTAATGTAGAGTTTATTTAAATTTTTAATAGTGAAAAATTCTTGCTCAAGGTAAAATTCTTAAAAATCCATTGTGGTGCAACAGGTGAGTAAGTATCAGTATTTTTCATTGTGGTGCAAGTACAGTAAAATAGTTAATCATCCACAATGTCAAATTAACTCTAAAAACAAGTTTTCAAAACAAAGAAAACACATGTCACATTTAAAACATTTATTAAAACAATGAACATTCAGGCTCAGGAAACACTCTTTAACAAAACATACAGTTTCCATCAGTGTTCCACACAACAACACATTGTTGTCTTTCACAGCAATAGTCTTGATCTTACAAAACACTGGCATCTCACATGTTACTTCTGTACAGATAATAAAGTCAGGGCGATACTCAGTGCCGTGGTGTTTGATCCACTTTACAGAATAGACAGCTTCTGACAAACCCACTCCTAGTTTGGAAGCGATCTCTTGGCCACATTTAAGTTCAGAGAGTTCTACCATTTTTCCTGGACCAAGAGACAGTCTGTACTGGCTAAAAGACCCCCTAAGTACGTCACAATACAAAATTGGTGCTTTTTGGCTAGTGTTTTGGTGATGTTTTTGAAACTTTTAAATTGCGTTTTAAAAAAATGTTTAGCGCATGTTTAGCTTCATAACGCATACATCACGTGTGAAGAATTGGTCAAATTTTTCTTATAAACTGTGGGTAATGTATCATTATATGATGCTTTGGCAAAAGATTTCTTTCAGGAAATATTTTTTTTAAAGCTGGTGATGTTCAATTATTAAAAAATAAGATAAATGCTCATGCCTTCTGTTAGGACTGGTGAAAATACAATGTTGACAATCTGCAAAAGTAAAACCAAAAGATGCCAGTGTTTATCATCTCTTTGGACTAAATCAACAAATAATAGGGGCATATTGTGCAATAAGCACCAAGATTGGATTGCATTTAAACCCAAATTGTTGCTTCCATCAAACAGTTTGACCACTGGAGGATGGTTCTTCTGCTGATTCTAACTGCACGTCCTGATTTTGCCAAGTGGAAGCTGTCCTGAGACCAATATCTTTATGATGACCCTGGAACAACAACTGCCTCGGCCAATCAACGTTTATGATGTCATCAGAGTGTGCCCCCCATCGAGTCCGCCAAATTTAAAATAAAAAAAACACACACACACCAACAAGCACACAAGTTACAAGGTAAGACCAACGGCTTCTTACATTCTCTTATTAATTAACAGCAGTATTGTACCACGACTAAACATACTTGTTTTTAGAAAAACGTTAGCATTTTTCCACCACTGAAGTTATGTAACGCTAATAATCTTAACAGGACGTGCTTAACAGTAAAATGAGCAATTGATCAGCATCGCTGACATTCTGGCTCTTAAAATAAAAACTATAAAAGATGAAATTACTGTTTAGATATTTTTTATAGTGTGCCTAGCTAAAAAAAAAGGAATTTAGTTGTTTTTTTTTACAAAAAACAAACAAACTGGTGCAACAGAAATGTTTACTAAAATCTCTTTAAGTAACATTACATTAGCATTTGCACATCACACTGACCATTCAGCTTGGTCAGACTGTAGCCTACAGCGTGATTTGCTGCGAGATCCAGGGAGAAACGTTTGAATTAGCTTATTTATTCTGATGTTGTCCTCAGACAATCATATGAATATGTTGACCTCAAGTCGTCTCTGATTTATTCGGTTACATGATGTTGTCCTCAGACCATATGAATATGTTGACCTCAAGTCATCTCTGATTTATTCTGTTACATGATGTTGTCCTCAGACCATCATATGAATATGTTGACCTCAAGTCATCTCTGATTTATTCTGTTACATGATGTTGTCCTCAGACCATCATATGAATACGTTGACCTCAAGTCATCTCTGATTTATTCTGTTACATGATGTTGTCCTCAGACCATCATATGAATACGTTGACCTCAAGTCATCTCTGATTTATACGGTTACATGATGTTGTCCTCAGACCATCATATGAATATGTTGACCTCAAGTCATCTCTGATTTATTCTGTTACATGATGTTGTCCTCAGACCATCATATGAATATGTTGACCTCAAGTCGTCTCTGATTTATTCTGTTACATGATGTTGTCCTCAGACCATATGAATATGTTGACCTCAAGTCATCTCTGATTTATTCTGTTACATGATGTTGTCCTCAGACCATATGAATATGTTGACCTCAAGTCATCTCTGATTTATACGGTTACATGATGTTGTCCTCAGACCATAAAATGAATACGTTGACCTCAAGTCGTCTCTGATTTATTCTGTTACATGATGTTGTCCTCAGACCATCATATGAATATGTTTCTTTCGGTTCTCCGTGAGAGACGCGGGACCGGCGCGCGGCTCACATATGTCTTTCATTATCAGTCTCTGTTATAACTCACACCACCGGCCTCGCGCAGAGCGCCGGCCTCTTAAGTTACATCCCTCACCCTCGATCGTCCTGCTCGCCACAGCCAACTAGACATTTTGTGTGAAATGAATTTCAAACTCCGGTGACAGCTAATGTTAGCCTTGTAGACGGAAGAGTGAATTCTCTGTTTGCGCGGTTCCGGATTACAGGGTGTGGCTTGTGGAGCTGTACAACGCGGGGCATTCTGGGACCTGTAGTCTATTCATATTCGTCTTTTCTCAGTCAAGAGGGCACCAAATAAAAAAATTATTTTACATTTCGACTACATATATGATCCACTTTCAATAAAGATTAATGTTGCAATGGGTGAAATGCTCCTTTAAGCACGTCCTGTTAAGATTATTAGCGTTACATAACTTCAGTGGTGGAAAAAAACGTTTTTCTAAAAACAAGTATGTTTAGTCGTGGTACAAGACTGCTGTTAATTAATAAGAGAATGTAAGAAGCCGTTGGTCTTACCTTGTAACTTGTGTGCTTGTTGGTGTGTGTGTTTTTATTTTTTTAAATTTGGCGGACTTGATGGGGGGCACACTCTGATGACATCATAAATGTTGATTGGCCAAGGCAGTTGTTGTCCCTGGGTCATCATAAAGATATTGGTCTCAGGACAGCTCCCACTTGGCAAAATATGGACGTGCCTATAGTCAAAAGCATGTACTCTACCAGTCATATCATCAGCGCTCAGAAAATTAGACTGAATGTACTTGTGTCACGATCCACACACGGGAAACAGGGGTAAATCCAAAAGCAGTATTTATTTAGAGGATAATCCAAACTCGTAGTCACACATGCAGGGTCAAACCAAGAGAATCCATCAAAACAAATAAACAAACAGGAACTAGGAAATGAACACAGACCAGAAGTGGTGTGACACAAAATACAAGGACTCCGTGAAACACACTGAACAAGGCTGGGTATACTGTATATACACATCTCTAAGAAGATAACACAGAACAGCTGGGAACAATGATTACGGGGAACAGCTGAGTGCAATGATCAGTAAGTGACAGAACAGGATGATGGGAAATGCAGTTCCAGAAGTGAATGACACAGTGGGGAAGGAGGACATCTAGTGGACAAACAAGGGAACACATCCAGACACTGTGACAACTTGTGGCAGGAAGGGCAATTTTTCCCTTCGTCATTATCCGAATTGCCATTCCAGCCTATCACAGGCACCCCTGGACTATAAAAACGGTAATTGATTTGCTGCCTGGTATGCGTCACTGTTGTGAACCGATGTGTCGTTAACGTGCTTTCGTCACCGCTTCCCGGGAAGCGGGTGCAAGCAACCGAGCTGGTAAGCAGAAGACACTCTTAATTGTTTAGGTCATGATGTGTATTTAGTCACGCAAGGTGCATCTTGTCTAATGTGTATTTTAGAAATGCTGATCTGTGTTGGAGCGGGCCTCCGACCCTCCTGCTGTGCGAGCTTGGTGTGGTGTTGTCGCTGTTTGTATGAACTTGAGATTGACACTGGAGACGGTAGGAGAATTTGCCGCTTAATCTCTCGCTAATTGTTTTTAGTAGGTGCGTGTCTCGAAGCGCTAGTCAGTATTTTAAAATGTGACCCAATCTATTTCCTTTCTCAGCTGTGAGAACCCGATACAGT